AAATAGTTATATATATATATACACAGGAATGATGAGAGTGATATTTGATAAATAAAAATGAGTAGTAGTAGTAGTAGAGAGAATAAATGTTTGAGAGACACAAGAAGATGAGCACACGCATTTTGATGAAAGTAATGCAGTAGTCCAAAAAAAAAAGTGAATTTTTCGATATCAAATGTTTCTGATTTAGAATCATGTTAGCATATCCTCGAGCTCATTACATATTGTGGAAGAGAGAGCGATCGAAGTGTGGCATTCGGCCAACTTTTCATCCAAAACAAGTAGACTCAAATAAAAGGAATAAAAAATTCGAAAAGACGTGGGGAGAAAAATGTTCCTTTTTAGCTATTTTAGTCACGGCCGTATATAAAAAGGGAAAAACTTTGATTTAGCAATTACAATATTTTTCCCTTTTAGAGTTTTCACCTTTTTGGTATAAAGAATGGATGTAAACATGATCGTGTCTTCGAGTAATGATGTTTGAGAGAGCATTAGTTTGTAGAAACAAAGCAAACAGGATTGGACCCTCAAAATAATGTTTTAAGTTGTTTAACACTAAACATGCCATAACCGATCAAATGACAGTTTAAGAACTTTTGCATCGAAAATGGGCTCATCATCTTATCGTTTTTGCACATTTGACTTCATGACTTTTTCTAACAATTATATACAGTCAATATACTACTATTATTATTTTTTTTGCATTTTGTTTGTTTCGAATAATACTTGTCGTATACCTATTTCTACCATAACCGGTCATTAGACCGGGAGAAGAATTTATTGCTTTATAAGATTATCGGATCAGAAATGACGATGCAATGCGTGTTCTACCTATTGCATTCTTTTTGTTGCACATTTCTGCTAAAACTGTTCATTTTGCACATTGTTGCACATTTCTGCAAAAATTCTTTTTGTTGCACATTTCTGCAAAAACTGTACGGTATGGTACTTCCATCAGAATAACTGCGAATTCAAATTTCAAGAAAGTACCTAACATTTTAGAGTGGCATTTTTTTGTAAAAATAAGTAACAATTATAATTCTTATCTATTCTTATAATTATAAGAATAATTATAGAAATAATAATAATAATTAGAAGAAATATGTTTGTGGAAAATGTACAAAGGAAACACCCTGTATATGTAAAAAATGCGTTTAGCAATAAATTAAAATTATTATTCCTTGTGTTTGTAATACATAAAAATCGGCACCATACAATTTTGTTTAGTTATAATAAAAGTTTTTGTTTGTTTATTTCCTTCCTAACATCCATATTTCATACATTCAATCAAGAAACATAAAGTCAGGTCATTTGACCGCCTATGGTAGAATTAGGTATGTATTAGGTGTTGGTATGTTTAGTGTTAAGAACTTTCAGAGGTATAGCGAAATGAGCAAAAAAGTAAAATTAACTAATTAACTTTGAGAGGTCCAAACATTCGACCGCTGTCCTAATTATATTGTTTGAACCTTATTTTTGTCCTCCGTATTTTGTGCGTTCAGAATTCGTTGATAATAAGGTATGCTTATTCGGCAAAGTACGTTTCTGAGTATGATTCCGTAACTTATTAATAGTTAGCACCCTGGTAGTTGAATTGATGGGTCCCGTAGTTAACTGATCGCTAAGACACGGTTCCCAGTAGAACACCGAAGTCAAGCATCACTGGCTGCGGTCAGTGTGTGGATGGGTGACCGCTTGGATCAGTCTACGAAGGGATCGAGGATGTGCGGTATTGATCCTCGTTAAACTGTTCTATGAATTACTGAATTTATGGAGTAAAACTTTTGCATTATATTTATAAATCTTTTTTTCTAAATTTGTCTTCGACCTCGAAGCTGTCAGAGAGATACATAGTTATATTTAGTACCACATTTTGGGCTCCCTTATTGGCCTAAAACTATTTCCTTTGGTATGATACTATAGTACCAGGGGTACCAGTCTTCATTCCTGAGGGACATCAGTCTTGAGAAAAGATCAGTAGGAGGAAATCCAACTTAGAATTAATATTTATTTCCATTCAGTTGTGGAAATTAAGTTTTAAAAGTAAGAATTAGGTTTTCTTTTTTTTCTTTAAAAATGTTAACTGTTATTTTCAGACAATAAAAAATATAGGACCTATATTTTAAAAAATGGAATTTATAGAAATAGGAAAATATTTGATGATGATGATGAAGGGAAAAATAAGTAGATAGTGATAGATTGGTGTAAAAAGATATGAGGTTATGTGTGTTATCTTTGTTTTTTGTTTTTTTGCCTCAAAAAAGTAAAATAAAGAAAAAGAATGTATTTTTTTTAGAAAATAATATTTACCATAAAAAGAGTAAAGTAACGAAAATAAATGTATCTTTTTAGAAAAAGTAATCAAATTGTCTATATAGTATATGAATCATCCTCGTTTAAAGTGATTTATAAATTTCTGAAAAATTCTGCTAAATAACGCAAGATCGTGTTAATTGTTCAAATAATAAGTTCAGTTTTGAAATTTTTGGCACCCAGTACATTTAACTATAGTATCTGACTGAGTTTGAATATTATGGATTAATATTAAGGAGAGATATTGGACCATGTATGAATGTAGTTTATTAAGCAAGAATTTCTTCATTTTAATGCTTTTTGACATACTATTATATATTATAGCAAAAATCCAGCTAAATATGACAAACAGGTAGCAAAATTTGCCAACGTAAGGTCCTTAAAATTATACTTATCATTTTTTTTGATGTTTACATTTAAGTTGAATGTTATACAATGATACGAATAAAAATGGAAGAAATTCATTTGCAATAAAAATCTATAATCGAGCTACGAAAAAAAAGAGTACTTTTTGTCTTTTTGGCTGTGTTTTCTGAGTTTAACTTTTTAATATTCATGAAAAACAAGTTTAGTTATGTTTTAAAAAAGTAATCTTAGACATTTTCCCTTCATTTTTTTGTTTGTTTGCCTTTAAAAGAAATTAAAAATAAAATTTTGATGGAATGTAATCTGCAAAGGCTATACTAATTTGCAATGTCCGTTTCCTTGCTGGAGGATTTCTGTTAGCACAAATTAATTAGCACATTTTTGGTTATCCTTTTGAACCATTAAGTTTGAGTAAGATGATTGGCTGTTGGTTATTTTATTATGAGCACTGTTCATAAAATTTTATAGAATTTTTTATAAATATGAAAATGAATAAAGGCGACTTATACATGATTTTATTTTTCAGGTTGCATTCTAGAGGAAAGAAATAATAAAAACTATAAATAGTGATTTCTGACACATCTAATTACAACCTGATGTAATAGATTGCTTTAATCTATAAAAGAAAGAAAGTTTATCATATCTGATGTTAAACCTGAATTTTGGTCTATCTAATGGTTTTCGCAAATTATAGCGATACCAAAGAGGTAAGTGGAATAGTGTTAACAATCTTATAATTAATTTTGATCTTTTAAAATTCACAATACATGAAATTTTATTCAATATATAACATCGCTTTTTATTTACTTATAAATGCAAGACTTCCACAATAAAAATGTGGCATTTGGGAACTATCTATTTCAAAAACTATAAGAGTCAGAACTTCATAAGAAAAATTGTGGTAATTGTGGTACAACAATTCCGAAAACTCCTTCTACATATAGACAGTTCTCAAAAGGTTGGAGTATTACACAGATTTTAAGCTCTAATTACAAAAAAGTTCACAAATAATTTATAGCGAAAAATGAATCCTTTGTTGGAAAATAATTTAAAAATATTTAATACGAGCTTTTCTAGGGAAATTTTATTGTTTAAAATATTATTATTGTTTTTATTGAAAAAAAATTGTTTTGACAAATAATTCGGCTTTATGGGTGATGGGTTTGAAACACTCTATATAATCTCCTGACTAAGGTCCTTTATATATTTTTTTATAACCCTAAAAATGATTGTAGGATTGAGTGTTGGTTTCTAGGGATTTTGGAAATTTACTAAATTTAGAAGACAAAAAATATTACCAACTGACAGTGCCTTCGGTGATATGATGGATGCCTTAACACTTCCCAGACAACCAAAGTCAAAATTCTTGATGGTCCCATCAAAACGTATTGATGGTTTATGTTGTTTTCAGTGTGATTTATGATGGTGCAACATCATTTGATGGTCACCTTCATACATCATTTTCCATTATGCGTTCATAGTGTTTATATGCCAACAAACTTCCATCATTCCATGATGGAAAAGGTTACTTCAATACTATGATGCTTAACCATCAAGAGAAGTTTGATTCTCATGGACCAACAATCCATGATGGGTCCAACTATACATTTCCAACTATACATTGTAATGAGAATTCTTATTAATTCTCACTCAGGAATATATTATCAAAATTATTATTTTTTTTATGTTGGACTGTATTTTTTATGTTATGTTTTATGATGGTTGTTCATGATCGCTCTAACATTCGATTTCTAATGTACTATGGAAATTCGTGATGGTCCATAATGGTACAATATTACATTTCCATGGGGGTTTAATGGAAAGTCTTGTTGTTTCAGCAGGATTATACCATCGAAACCATTTGGTTTTTTTATGTTTCCTTTATAAATTATGATGGAAATTTCTAATGATTCAAAATGAACAAACCATCAAAACAGGTAGCTATTCTTATGTTGGACCGTCATAAAACAGTCCGAATTCTTACATTGAGGTGATGGTTACTTATGTTGGTTACCATCAAAAAATATAACGGTTCATGATGGAATTATTGATGGTTACCATCAATATTATGTCGGTCCAATAATGGGAAAAACTATCAAAAAGTTTGATTTGGGATGTTATCTTAATTTCTGACGTCTCGTTAATAATGTATGCGAGTTAAATGTTGTATAAAGAAGTTTTTTTCCTGGCTATTGCGTACACTTTCCATTACTCATAAATTATATTCATGACTGCGTGATCCCTAAATAAAATAAATTAATAATTCATTACAAGACGTCGTGTTCAAGTTCATGATACAAAACATGAATTTTTACTAAATATATTGTAATAGTGGGTGTACAAATAAGTTCCCGACGTTCGTCACAAGATGGCACTACCAGAAGGTTATGTAGAAATTGAATGGTGTTAAACGTCTTATTGTAACTTTGTTCATCTGGTAACAGCCTAACTTTGAAGTTTTGGTGATTCCGTATTTGCGTTACGTAATTATTTTCGTGCGAAAACGTCAAGTTTTGTGCCAAATAAGCGTCATTTGCGGGAACTTTTGATTTTACTTCGTTAATTTATAGAAATCTGCTGTTGAGGAGCATCAATTGCTCGTAGAAGCATATAGTGAGGCTGCTTTAAGTGAGAAAAGTTGTCGTGAGTAGTGTCAGAAGCTTAAAACCGATGAGTTTGACGCAGAAGACAAAGAACGCAGCGGAAGGCCGAAATTGTACGAAGACAGAGACTTGGAGGAATTATTCGAAGAAGATTCGTCCCCAAACGCAAAAAGAACTTGCTCTTATATTACAAGTGACGCATTTCACATTGTTTGAAATCGTTGGAATTTATCCAAAAACAAAGAAGTTGGGTTCCACACGAACTGAAGCCAAGAGACATTGAGCGTCGATTTTGCATCTAAATTGATTTTGCTATTTGGAAATACTTCAATGGGAAGTCCTACCCCACCCGTCGTAATCACTAGACCTTGTCCCGTCAGATTATCAACTATTCCGGTCGATGGCACGTGGTCTGCCTGATCAGAAATTTACAACATTTGAAGAAACCAAAGAATGGGTCGATGCGTGAATATTCTCGAAAGATGAAGAGTTCTGTCGAAGTGGTATTCGAATGCTCATAGAAAGATGGGGGAAAAAGTAGTGTCTAGTAATGGAGAACACTTTGAATAACAGATAATGTACCCTTTTTTAACAATTTTTGATAGAAAAGGGCGGAAACTTATTTGTATACCCATATGCAACTGAATAAAAATCGAACGATTTCTTTCATTTTAAGACAAAACTGTGTAAGTTAAAAAGGATTAATCTTCGAAATCGTACTAGATATGTCGTTTGCGGAGCGTGCTATTTATAAACATATTTAAAGAATAAAAAGCAGTTCAACTCAATCAAGAGCTTTTAAAATACGACATAATTATCCTATGAGATGTTACAGTTTTCTATAGTGCAATTTTTTCCCTTGTCGGCGAGGTTAAAAGAGTTTAAGGGAAATTTTATCACAAAAATTCACTTCGTTGATTTGTTAGTTTATGTTTGAAAAAATAAGAGTTTTGACTGTCAAGTACTTTGATCGGTTTCCAACCCTTATCTCGAAGATTTTGATGAGTTTATATTTTGAAATCTTTTCGTTACTCCGTCAAAACACACATATTACAATTCCAGAAACCGCCCCCAAATTATTATACCATCGAGAAGTACTTATCTCAAGTCTTTATACTGGAAAAATATTAGAAAAAAGCGACTTTATTTCATTTTTACTGACTACTCGTTATTAATTAGCTCAATTATTACTTAGTTTCAAAGATAAAATTTTTCAGATTTCTTAAACTCTTATTATGCACTACTTCAAAACTTTTTGTTCGATTTCGCCCAATGAGACAATTTGTTCTTTATCACCCGGTCTTGGTTGTCCTTTTCCGTAAAAGCTCTTATCTGGAGAGCCCGGAAGCTAAATGGTCGGGTACCGCGAGAAGCAGGAAAGAAGGCAGGCGATAACATCGCGGAAAACCCCAGGAAAAAAAAAACTAAGTTGAGAATAGAAAATGCGCAAGTCCTTATCTCTTGGCTTGTTTCTCTCTGCATAGAATGCTCAACTTTTTTTTCATATTCATTTTCTAGAGATGGAGGAAAAAGAGGATAAAATATTTCGATGCCTTTTCATAAAAGGGGCAGATTTCCCCCTTCGGCTGCTGTGCGTCTTTTTATTCATTTCTGTCGTTCGAAGACAGCGAAAAAAATGAAAGAGATATTTTTTTTCTCTATTTTTTGGAATAGAATAGCCTTTCTAGGGTTCCGTTAACGATTATATTGTAACATTCTTTCCCTTTTTTTTATACGGGGCTTAGAAAGAATGAAAAGGAAAAGATATAAAAAAAAATTGACTTTTATACGCCCTTCTTATCTTCTTCTTTTTCGAGCATTGTTTTTAATAAGAGACGTGAGTTAAAATGACATACAGCACATGTTGTTCTGTTGAACAGTTATTACCCTTTTTGTTGGGGTTGTCATCCAATAAATTTTCTCGACATTCCTCAACTCCAGTTATTACTTCTTTTTTTCTTTTCTGACATTTGCTTTGTTTGTATCATTGCTTACTGCTTTTAATCATTCACGACGTCTGAATTAGAAATCATGATCCTTGTCTGCCAGTTTTTTTTATATTTAATCTTTATTTTTTGTGCTATCTACGCAGCTCAAGCATTATGGGTCTGCATAATTGAAAGATATATATATATATATATATTTAAAATTTTAATTCTTATTAATGACACATTTTTTTGTTTAAGGAAATATACTCTTTCGATCTTTGATATTTTATTTTTATTTTATAACCGTCGTTGAACAGTCGACCCAATATTATGGGTTTACGACTACTTCAACTCCGTAGCCTTGTAATTTTGAACCCAATTCAGAAGACAAGGAAACTCCTGGATCAAGTATTGGGAGAAATTTGCCTTTGTGTAGGACTTTTAGATGAAGCTGACCCGCATTTGCGTTACATGGACTGGAAGACCACGAGAACCTCACATGGTTAACCTCACGGCAAGGGGACTCTAACCCATGATCCGTCTACCACTGAGGATATTTCACGTCAGCACGTTGGTCGGTGCAAGCCGGATGCGGAATTCGTAACGACTGGGATTCAAACCCGGTTCGCCTCATTGGAAGGCGAACGTTCTAACCCCTGAGCCATCGCCTCTCATCTTTGATATTAGACTCAACATATATTTAATTTTATAACCGTCGTTGGACAACCGACCCAATTTTGGGTTTACGACTACAAATGTTCAACTATGTGGCCTTGTAATTTTGAGCCAATCCAGAAGACAAGGAAACTCCTGGATCAGTGGTCTCAGAGGTATGATTTGTTATGGGAATATGGTGGATATTGAGACTCGATAGATTTAATGTGCATCAGTCACCACTTACTACTCGAGGAGTCTTCGGCTGACGGTGATCGAACCCACGACCTCTTGGACAATGGCCCACACCTCTACCAACCATGTTATCCCAGCCCAGAGTCACAATATGCATGAAATATACTCTTTAATTGTAGTTATTATAATTTACATAAGTCAGGTTCTGCGTTGTTTCGTCATCACGACAATTCCTTGCCCACAGTTTATGGTAAGACAATTCATTGCTATCACAATTCGCTGTGAAGCACGATTTCTTGCGGTTTTGGTCAAACACCTTTTAAAGAG